AACCCCAACAATGCAGGCCCTTCATGTTACAATTTTTCTAGGTGTCCAAGCTTCCCTGGGGATGGCAGCTGAGTGTTCACACTTGAAGTCAGGGGTCCTACCCACACATCTGTCCTCAGAATACTGCCTCCTTTCCTGGTCCCCTTATACATCTCTCTTCCCCAGGACTCCAGGCAAAAGCCTCTGCCAGAGATGCAGCACAGTGCTATGTGGGGGCTGCCAACAAAAATCTGTTTGTGACCTGGGAGCCATCTTGCAGCAAAAGCAAGAGCAGGGACAGGGAAAGATGGAACTGGGCAGGCAAGAGCAAGAGAATCCCTCCCAGATCTGAGAGTCCTGTAAGTGGTATCAGATCTGGTGAGGACCATAGAATGTGTGGCCTCACCACTGAGGAGAACATAGCTTGCTTGGCATCCAGAAAGAGGCCTTGCTTTGCTGGCGCAGGGCTAGCTCTGGAATCCCGGAGACTGGCTTTGAGCATTTATCCTCACCAGCCCCAGAGTTCCAGGCCTGGGCACCTCCAGGACCAGTAATGCAGAGGACTGGAAAGGTGGTGGAAAGGGAAGCAAGAGAACTGCTCATAGGCGCTACCCTGAGGATATCCCCTGTGAAGCTGATGGGGTGACACCCAGTTTGGTGGAGCTGAGCAACCTTGGGTCAGAATGTGTCACACACACACCCCTTGGTCCTCCTTTCCCTCTGTTGAAAAATGGAGATAATAGCTGTCCCTCTCCCCTGGAGCTTTGAAGATGTGTTGAACTAATGGGAGAAGTCTCCCGACCTGGCATCTTGTACAGCTGTAGCCTGAATAGATTCCTGAGTGTGTGTGTCTCCATCTCTGCTCCCCCACCTGTGCAGGGTCAAAGGCCAGCCCCATTCCGAGATGTCCCAGGTGACATCCACAGCAGTGTTTCACAAGGGAGCCAGCAAAATAGGATGCATGCAGGACAAAGTCACGGGGGAAGGGGCACTGGTGGGAGTTGTTCTGAACTGATTGTACCAGAGGCATTTCTCCAGTGCCCCAACATCAGAAAGGGTCAGTGGTGGCCATGAGCAGTGGACAGAGCTCATAGTGGGCATGCCATGTGTCTCCTTTAAGGATCAGTTTCCTGGAAAGGTTTTATTTGATGGGGTATGTTTATGTCCATGTGCAAATCAGAATTCCAAGAAAACAAAGCCTCAAGGGGGTTGGCTTATCAGTTTCTTCTGCTCTCCAAGATGCCCTGGAGAACATGAGCGACCATGGTCAGAACTGGTGTTTGGCTTATTTTTTATATGTGTGTGCACATACATGTTTGGAAGGGTACACAAACTAGTGTGTGTGCATACGCGCATGCACGTGTGTAGAGGCCACAGTACAATCTCAGTTGCTCAGGTGTCGTTCCTCAGGTACCACATCCCTCCTTTTGTTTGGATCCAGTCAGGGTCTCTCGTTGACCCAGAACTCAGCAACTGTGATAAGCTGGCTGTCCAGCCAGCACCAGAGATCTGTCTGTCCTGACCAGTGTGTCTATGCAGCACTCCTGAGTGTGGACCACAGTCTTTACATGGTTTGTGGGGACCACATCCAGACCCTGTGTTTGTAAGGCTAGTGCTTTACCAGCTGAACTGTCTTCCTCAGCCCTGCTTGTTTGTTTTGAGAAAGGTCTAGCTGTTTAGCTCAGACTAACCTAAGATTCACTAGGTAGTGTAGCAAGCTAACCCTGAACCTGCCATCCTCCCAGCTCAGCTTCCTGAGATCTGGGATTATAGGCATGTGCCACCTCACCCAGTGCCGGCAGAAGTGCTCAAGTGAAGCCGTTGCCACATGGTCCTACCTATTCTTACTAACATCAGCTACTGAGACCGAGGCCTTGCGAGCCTAGCTGCCTGGCCACCCCTTTCCCAGCTGGCCTTGACCCTAAACTCAAGCATAAGGCATTCTCCAACGTTAAGGGCTCTTTCAGATTTCTTACGTAATTCAGATGGAAAAGCTCCAGAAGGCAGCCCCCACGGTGGATCTGTTCAGAGCCGGTATTCAGGGACCTGGATTTTTGACCAAGCTTTGAGATGTGCATCTGGTACGTGATGGCTGAGGGGTGTGGCCTGATTGTGTCGGCATGGAGGGTGGGCACAGTTGGCCATGGCTGCCAGCTGCATCCCCCGAGCAAACTCTGCTGGGATCTCAGGGCCTACATGGCCACCCCACCTCCCCATCTGGCCATTTTGAGTAAATCTTGAGTCTACCCTCAGGGTTGACAGGACACCTGGAAATCTGGTGGTCTAGACTCTCTGAACCATTTCAGCAAGACTCCTATGAGTCACTGACAGTCACAGGAGAAGAAGGGTCCCACAGCTATCTGTGTTAGGTACCTCAGTCCTTCCCGGCAGGGCTTCCCAGCCTGCTGCAGCTTTGTGTTCACCAGCACAGGGCATGGGTTGAGCACTTTCTCTGTTGGCTGTGAGCCTTCTCCTCCTGTGCATTCTAGAATTTTGATTCTGAAGAAAACACTTGAAATGCTGGTGGTAGCCGCAGCTCTTGCTTTCTGAGTGCCTGTTGTACCAGGCCATATACTAAGGACAGAGTTATGCTGCTTCTCCTGGCTGTTGTTTCACAGAGAGGAATCCTGGGGCTTTTCCTGACTCCTCTCAGAGAGTTCAGGTTTAGACCTGGGTTGGTTGCCCTGACTGCTGAGTGAGGCCACTACTCTCGTGGGCTTCTCATTTCTCTGTCCATTTAACACCTTCTGCCCACAGGAAACTTAGAGCCCCGGAACTGAGGGCAACTGGAGGGTGAGCTTGGAAGTCCGTCCAGTCAGCGTGTGGAGCTCTTCTTTACCCTGCCAGGGCTAGGGAGGTGGTCAGAGGCCTCACACAGGCAGCATGAATCCCTAGCTTTCCACAGACAGAAGATGGCTTGCCTTAAAGCCCCTGGTTAGAAACAGTATTGACTCTGTAGGCACCCTCCTCACTCCAGCTGGGCTAGGGTCCCACCTCGAGCCTCTAGGTCCTCCTCTGGCTGTCACGACACCATCACTAAGTTATCCCCAGGCCTGCTGACCTATCTGCCCCCCATTAAATGTAGGGCAGGGACCACATCTATTTCACTGCTAAGCCTCAGTGCCTGGCCATCGCAAATGCTCAATAAGTCCTTGGTTGGTGGAAAGAAACTGGCAGAAACTGTTAGAGTGGGTGGAGGCGCCAAAAAGAAAGTCCAGAAGTTATCGGTTGGTGATTGATGTGCACAGTAGCAAGCCGCCATGAAGTACTGCGTGCTTGCTGTGTGCAGACTACAGGGCTGAATGCAAAGAAATAGGTGAGCTCTATTGCTGTGTTTGTGTCTTTCCCAGTATGGCAGCGGCAATGTATATGCAAAGCCCTAAAAGGCAAACTGCTCGGTGCTGTGTGGCATTAGGATGACAGTGGCCCTGAAGTACTCACATAACACAGGCAGCAACCACTGCCTCTTAGAACAGTGCTTCTCACCTTTCTAGTGCTGCAACCCCTTAATTCCTCATGTTGTGGTGACCCCAACTATGAAATTTTTGTTGCTACTTCATAACTGCAATTTTACGACTTTTATGAGTCATAATGTAAATATCTGTGTTTTCCAGTGGTCTTAGGTGACCCCTAAGAGGGGGTCATTTGACTTCCCAAAGGGGTCTCAACCCACAGGTTCAGAACCACTGACTGCCCTAGTACTTCTCCTGTGCCTGTGGCTCATGTGCTGTCTGTGCGCCTTGCTCTCGCTGTGAGAGGCAGGAGCCCACAGTCCTGTTGACACGGGAGGAATCCAAGCCACAGACAGGGGAAAGGGAGTTCTAGTGGGGGGGTGGGCTTGGCATATGGACTCTCCCAGGGTGTCTGACTGATGAGTCTCAACTTCTCGGCACAGAAGAGGGAGTGGCCGTTAGCAATCGCAGTCACTCCCATGCACCTGCAGGGAACATGGTTCTTCTGTATTCAGTCTTCCTGTTGACGCTCTGCCTTCTCCAGAGAAGAAACTTAGGCACAGCCCATGCACGGCAGAGCCGAGCTCCTTCTCTGGACCTGCACTGAAGGAGTGGTGTGTCCCACCTGGATTGCTGGGTGCGAGATGTTCCTGAAAAGGCACATGCCTAGGCCCCCAGCCCCAGCAGCTTGAGTGTGACCTCTTCAACATGCTTCCTGAAGTTGCTGTTCTAGAAAGTGGAAGCTGTGCCTAGGTAGCCCCAGGTCTGCAGGAGGGCTCTGCCCATCGGAGACGGGCAGGCTCTTTACCTGGGGTTCCTACGAGGTTAGGTCCTGTTGGCTGTGTCCAGTCTCGCTTCCATGAACTTTGTCCCAGGCTCTACATGGTGGGTCATTTTTGGATTCCTTTGAGGTTCAACCATTTTAGTTCTCTGTACCTGGGAAAAGGCCCAAGCAGCAGAAATCAGTCTCTCTCTCTCTCTCTCTCTCTCTCTCTCTCTCTCTCTCTCTCTCTCTCTCTGTGTGTGTTGTGGGGTGTTCTCTGTGTCTGAGTACCATGGCTCCTCAGCAGATATGAACTGCTATGTTTGGTGAGCTTGTTTCTCGTGGGACTGGACACTTGCTAGGGGGAGTGAAGAACCAGAGGGAAGTGTGCAAACCACAGCCTACTGTGTCTGGAGAAATTACCAAGGTCAGATGCTGGTAGGTGCATAATGGGGACCTAAAGCCCTGTGGCCTGGTGTGAGGCCTGTAGTCTTCCTCTCTGTCCCGCGCTGGGAACAGGCTAGCCTGGAATTAAGGAGCGACATCCTCATAGTATGGTAGCCCATCACAGAGCACCCTAGGGCCCTCTCTTTCCTCTCAATGTGTGAGTGCAGGATCTGGAAGCTGGGGAACAGAGGTGGTTGCAGGAAGGTGTGAAGCTGAGCTCCGTGAACCCCAAGTCAATGCCTTCTCTGTTGGTCCTCATTGCTCCTTTGTCTGCTAAGGGACCCTCCCTGCCCAGTGACATTTGGTCCTGGGCCTCATGGTGGCAAGGTGGTTTACCGGCCCTCCTCGCTCTTTTCCAGGGTCCTATGAATGCGGCATCTGCGGCAAGAAGTACAAGTACTACAACTGCTTCCAGACCCACGTGCGGGCACACCGAGGTGAGGCCCCATGTGCTGATGGCCCTAGAAATCAACCATAGGAGAGGGGGCATGGAGGAAGGGAGATGCCTTCCTGAGGTGGGAGAAATAGTGTGTGTGTGAGGGGGGAGATCAGGCCCTAGTTTCAGCCTTGAGGGCTCTGGGGACGCTCAGTAGGAGTGTCACTTGCCCATCCCCCATAGGCCCTGTGCTCACATAATCTCATGTTCCCCTTGACAACTCGAGAGAGGAGCCAGCCGCTGAAATTCTGGGGACAAAGGAGCTGGCACGTGCCCCTCCTGAGCCAGGTGGCTGGGAAGAGACGCCCAGGTTCAGGCCGAGGTGACCCTGTCCCTCATAGGATCCAGGCGTGGACAGCACTTCCGACTCCCTTCAGCTACCCCACTCAGTCTCTCCCTCAGCACGGCACTGCCCCGCCATCACCTCTGCCAATTGGCTACCTCCTTCCTCTCTCTTTTTCCTGTAGATACCGAAGCCACCTCAGGGGAGGGCGCCTCCCAGAGCAGTGAGTACTTTTCCTACCTCCCGGGTGGGTGGGGGCCAAACACTGGGCCTGGAAAGGAGCTGTTCTTCCCTCCCAGAACAGCCTTGAGTAGCCTTTGAGAAACAGGTTGCCAGGCCTTGGGGCCAGAGGGGCCTTACAAAGTCAGAGCAGGCCTCCTCAAAGTGGGTTCCATAGCTTGCACATTCTGAGAAGGGTTCTCTTGAAAAAGGGTTCTCTGGCCAAGTAACCTTGGGAAACCTTGAGTTGTGTTCATGTGGGCATAGCTGACATCTTTGCTATGGGTGTCCTGTGCCACCTTGAATATCTCCAAGAGGAACCAACCTTCCCTGTGCTTTGGACCCTGTTCATGGGCCTGGGGTTCTTAGCCTGTACTGGGAACGTTTTCTTGGAGGACCCTCAGCCTTGGGCACAGTTGTTTCCAGATGCTGGGCCCTGTGATACTATCTCACAAGTCCTGCTTGCCCTCCCTCCAACTCAAACCCATGGGATGATACACTCTGCCCTCCCACCATCCCTCCCACCCCTGTGCACAACATGAGCCTCAAAAGTTCTACCCTTGGTGATTATCTCATGGGGCACGTGTCTAGGCCCATCTGAATCAGAAGATATGAACTAGGTTGTTCTTAGTGAGTTGTTCCGGGCAGCTCTAATGCAGAGGCCCCCAGATGCCTAGCCTTGGGAGTGGCTAAGTAAGCACGCTCACATAAAGGGCCGCATACAGAAATGAGGGATGAGTGAGGTCTAGCCACCCACGCCGTGTGCACAGAGCTCTCGAGGGAATCATCTCCTACGACTGTCAGAAAGCATAGGCATAGGGAAGGCGGTGCTGACAGAAGTCGGGAGATTAGGCGCCCTTGAAAGGGTCTGCCTTCTGCCTCTCGAGCCAAGGGTTCCGTTCCTCAGGACTTTGTGGGTGGAACATGATCAAGCTGCTTGCTTAATACCCCAACGCTTTGTTCTGTAGGGGCCAAGAAGTGTTTGCTGTAGAGGAGCAGATGGTGAGGAGGCTGTGCCAGGGTCGTGGCGTCTCCATCGTCAGCCCTTCACTTGTAGTGGGGACTCCAAGGGGATACCGTGAGGCTACATTCTACCAGTAAAGTTGGCGGTGGGGTCTGACCTGGTGGCCCAGTATGTCCCCTTGTTGCTTGTGTCTGTTGCACCACTGCACTTAAAGATAACAAATGTCACTCAAAAGAGGTTGGGGTGAGCTGAAGAAGGGCCCTACTTGAGGCTAAGCCCCGAGAATGTCCTTCTTGAGCTACCCATTCCGGGAAGGTAAGCAAAGTTGAAATGGTCTGCTGTGTTCAGCTTGGCTATCAGCCTGCCGTAGACTCTAGCTGGGAGGCACAGCAGCTGCCTCTCCCCGGCCCAGCCCTGTCTGTCTGCTTTACTAGCTGCCCCCTTCTTCTCTCGACCCCGTGGTCAGCCTGTGGTCACCCACATATTTAACAACCTTCCCTACTTATCCTTTCTTCCTTGGCCTCCCTGGGTGCCTTCATTTTTCCAGGCCGTTTTTCCCGTGGCCAGGATGCTGTCATCTTGGTCTTATGTCCCACCCTTGGTTCAGTCAGCAACAGTGCTCTGTGTCTAGTGAGCTGCTGGATCAGCCTTGACACAGAGCTGTAGAGCATTGGGACTGGAAGGTTCCTGTGGGAAATGCCAACTCCACCCTGCCGCTTTGCACACGAAGACCCCGAGTCCCAAGTGTGGAAGTCATGTAGTTTGTTAGCTGTACGGCCGGGCCTGGATAACATTTAGCAGGGAGATAATCCCGTCACATACAGACAGAGAGACATACCTACCCTCGCATCCATCTTCCAGTATCAGATCAAAGACCAGTCAGTCCTGCAGTACACTCCCTGAGCTCCATCTCCGTCTCCTAGGTCTTTGGGAAACCCTTCCATGTGACATTTACCCTGTTAGTTGGGGTGGTAACCATTGTGTTCTGTCTTAGTTAGGATTTCTATTGCCGTGATGAACATCATGACCAAAAGCAGCCTGGGGAGGAGAGGGTTTACTTGCCTTACACTTCCTCATCACTGTTCATCACTGAAGGAAGTCAGGACAGGAACTGAAACAGGGCAGGAACCTGAACCTGGAGGCAGGAGCTGATGCAGAGGCCATGGAGGGGAGCTGCTCAGTGGTTTGCGTCTCATGACTTGCTCAGCTTGCTTTCTTGTAGAACCCAGAACCACCAGCCCAGAAACAGTGTCTCTTAAAATGGGTTGGGCCCTTTGCTATCAATCACTAATTAAGAAAATGCCCTACAGCTGGATTTTGTTCCTTCATTACAAGGAGCTGCTATTCCCATCTCAGAGGCATTAGGGAGTGTGTCCCAATTCAGTCACATTTTTATCAATAGTAGAGTGGAGTTTGGGCTTAGGTGTCTCGCTCCAGAATCTACCTCCCGTAGCAGGTCCATGGTGGCATTCCTGAGATGCTGGGCTCTCTTGTGAGAACTATTTCATTGGCAGACGCTTTTGGGAATAACACTCTTCCTGTTAAACTCCTCCATTAAAGTTCCGGAACATGAGGAGACAGTGCAGATTCAGCAGGGCAGATGGGGGTGATTTTCAGTCTCAGAAAGCTGAGGAGGGTGGGCGTCTGTGTTTTATTGGAGCTGGGAAATGGAACTGTGGGAAGAGGAGCAGGCCTGGTGACAGGAGAGGCAGTAGGCAGAGATACATGAGAGCCAAGTGCTCAGCATCCGCAGAGGGCAGACAGCTCTGGGTTAGCCCCAGTAGCTTTCCCTGCTGGCATCCAGAGAAGATGGTGGGACTGTGGGAGAAGCTGAGGGTTATGGGCTAGGTGGTCCAGAGTGAAAGGAAGGAGTCTCTCTGAGCTGCCTCTTGCCTTGGGAAAGGGGGTGATGCTGAAGTCCAAAGAAAGGACCCGGAATCACCTGATCTGTGTCCCCTACTTCAAAATTTAGATAGGGAAAATGAGGGGGCAGAGACCACACCTCTCACCCCCCCCAGCTCTCCTTTGAAAGACCCTGGTACTCACACCCTGTGAATGTCTACTACTTCCCAAACTGTGGCTCCTTAGTGACAGTTCATCTCTGCAGCCCTGGTGTCTGCTATGACACCTTTAGGAGCCACCAGTTCCAGGGACGAGCTGGGCAGAAGTGGAAAGAAGGGTGAATGATGTCCTCCATCCCGAGTCCAGCTGAGAAGGGACTGGAAACCTTCTCCTCCTTTCTTCCACAGATGGAACAGCCTTGACGTGGAGGTTTTTTGTTTTTTGGTTTTTTGTTGTTGTTGTTTTGTTTTGTTTTGTTTTGTTTTTGACTCCTGTACCTGGTGCTGAGGAGCAGGGAATGGGGCCAGAACAAAGTGCCCCAGCATGGTTTATCCCAGCAAGGAAAGGCTGTGAACCCTGACTCAGCTCTGGCTAGAATTTCAGTGAATATTGGTCCCTAGCTCTTTCTTCTCTCTGTGCAGCCCTGAGTAAACTGCCGTCCTCTGAGTCCTGGGGACCTGAAAAGATAGAATTGAGGGGCCCTCCATAGAGCAACCAGAGGGATACATTTCACCAGGTCTGAGCCCGTCCAAATGCAGGAGGGCGTGCCCTGGAGGGAGAGGTACTGGTCTGGGTGCTACTAGCCTCGCTGTGGGAGGCCCAGGAAACAGGCAAACTTGGACCAGTGTTAATGACTCAAAGCAGCCCACCCTGCTTTCTCCCCGTTTCTATGGCTGGGAATTTCTATAGTGTGGCTTTTCGGGGTTCTCTGGCATAGAGATTCCCACAGGACCTCAGGCAGATTTGATCAGAGCTGTGGCCTCATCCCGGAGCTCAGCTGGTAGGGCTTTCTTTTAGGTTTGCTAGAGAAAGTGTGGCTTGCAGGGCTCTGTACCTCTGACACTGTGGCTCCGAGGGCCTCGGTTCCCACTAGCAGAGAGGGCCAAACTCAGTTACCTGCCCCCTGCATCTGCCCATGACCTAACTAAGAACATAACAACCAACCACAGGCTGAACAGGGTCAGGTGGCATGTGCAAGGCCAGGTCCCTGGTTGCCTGCCACCTAGTGTCCAGAGTGACAGCTCGTTACTTTGGCCACATTCTCCTAATTAGAAAGACTCTGAGAGGAGTCACACAAGGTGCGGACGTGAGCTGCGAGGGCATCATCATATCTGTGAAGCCAGCCCACCTCACTCTAGGACTTGGGGCAGACCGTGTCTCTCTAGTTCGCTCATTTATGAGAGACTGCTTCTCCCCTCTATTGAAGACTGGTTGAGAGAACACCCAGGAAGGGCCTGGTCCAGCACCTTGCTCACGGTTATATCTGGCCTTCACCCGGGGAACTGTGGCAGTGCTCTTCCGTGATGGGAGATGAGACTCATGTAGAATCAGGGCCTGGAGAGCCTAGGTCTCACAGGGAGGGTTGAGGAGTTGGGTTTGGAGTCAGAGCTCCCAGGTGTCACGATTCTCCACAAAGGGCTCCTGTTGTCACAATTCAGGCCTTGTAGTCCCAGCGTGTGTTCTAAGACGCCCTAGAGTGGAAACTGATGGAGGTCTGGAGGGGGACCTTGCTGAGCATGGAGGAGGAGCTGCTCAGAGGTCCAGGGAGTGAGCAGAACAGCTACTCCGACTGTTCAGAGAAGCTGTGCAGTCCCTGGACCCAGACGGCTCAGATCAGCTGGTTGGTCCCATCTTGGTTTCAGAGTCTGGTGTATTGACCTCACCTCACCCCAGGTGACCAGTGTCTTTCCACTAAACTCAGTGTCTTTCTGTTCCCCCACCAGACAATTTCAGGTACACATGTGACATCTGTGGGAAGAAATACAAATACTACAGCTGCTTCCAGGAGCACCGAGACCTTCACGCCGTGGATGGTGAGTCAGGCCCCTCACTCTTGGGAGTCTGTCCCCACACAGTGCCAGAGCCCTGAGGAGAGGGATCTCTGTCACAAGATTCTGGGGAGGGATTGTCCCTGTGTTTCCGCATTCTCTCTGAGGCTGATTCAAATGAAACTGCTAGAGCTTTTATAGGTCAATGCGAGTGGAATGTTGAAAGTTTCTCTCATGCCATTTTAATTTTATGTTGGGTCTTTGCATGATGTAGTAACATTAAACTAATTTGTTGAGATGAAGGATGTCCTCCGAGCATCTTAGATTATAGAGGTGGAAGTTAGAACAATAAGTTCAAGACATTCATCTAAACATCTAAACTCCTAGGAAGAGTGTTGTGGGTTCACAAAGGACTTGAGGTTTGCTGTCTGGCCCTCCACCTCAGCCACTGAACAGTGATATAACACCAGGTTGCCTCTGCCATGACCTTCCCTCACCTCCCTTTTTCCTCTCACCTCCTTGAATTTCCTCTGCTGTCACATACATGCTGGGGCTTTCTGAGCAGCAAGTGTCTGTGGTGGGCCCCTGCCCCTAGTGAGGAAGAGGAATGGGCCAGGATGAAGATGTGCCCTACCATGGCCCTGCCTTCCTGTGTTTTCTCAAGGGCCAGGTCAGGCCTCCCCATGACGCTAGGCATGACCCAAAGAGGTAACTGTGGCCAGGGACTAACAGGGCTTCTGTTTGCTTTTTTCCTCCTGCGGCTGTCGCCTCCCGCCTGGGTACAGTGTTCAGTGTGGAAGGGGCTCCCGAGAATCGGGCAGGTAAGTCTTTGTGGCTGTCCATTTTCTCTGTCTCCAGCTGGGTTCCTGTGTCCTGGGTGACCAGCATGCTAAGGTCATGTGTTCTCCCACAGACCCCTTTGACCAAGGTGTTGTGGCCTCAGATGAGGTGAAGGAGGAGCCTCCGGAGCCTTTCCAGAAAATTGGACCAAGTATGCGGGACCCTGGGGCCAAGGGCTGGCGGGGCTGGGTGAGGGAGGTGGCCTGAGCCACTCTGCTAGAAAGGCTGTGGCTCCAGCCTTGCAACTGTGTACCTGCCTGTTGGCTAGGCTAGGCAGTCTCAGGAGATTTGCCTTCAAGGAGCTGTAGACAGGGTGGGGTCAAGAGCAGGGTAGTGAAGGCAGCCGGTCCACAGCCCTATTTCAGTCAGCTTGTTTATGGTTTCCCCCAGTCTTGTACTTCAGCCTCGCATAGTGGTGAGGGAAGTGCTCCCTGCAGACTTGATAGATGTTAATGAGATCACAGACTGTGTATGCTGTAGCACTGTGTCTGGAACATACTAGGTGCTCAGAGGGCGATGACTGAAGTCATTCGAGGGGCATGTCAGTGAACAAAGTCAAGTAGGGCAACCACCTGTAGACAGAGACATTTCTCCCATACAGACCCTAAGGACAGGAACCACGTTGAACTTGTGCGTCTTCGGCAGACTTGTCTTGGATGACAGACATGGCCCTGAACTTGGGTAATTCAGTTCGCCCTTTGGATGGCCCTGTGGTAAAGGAGCCTGAGATTGGATGATGAACACACATGAGCGTAAGAAGGATAGGCACAACACAGAGTAAGACGAGAAAGGATTTGGGGGAAACAAAACACAAGAGCAGAATGAAAAGTTTCATGTCAGTAATGACAGAATTGATCTGCACAAAATTGGCACCATGAAGGACAGCGGTTAACAGAAGATGGTCAGAGATGTGAGAACAGGCAGCCAGCCCCAGGGGGCTGATGGTGTGACAGGCAGCCAGATAAAGAATATAAAGATCTGACAGAAGACACTTGCTGAGTGGGTGTGTGTCTGAAAGGCTGTCGGAGTGCAGGCAGAGTCAGTGTAAGGAGATCCTACCATCAGTAGGTCTTAGTGGCTCTAAAAGTGTAGGCAGGAAGAGGAAAACTGAGATAGCCACATGTATGAAACAAGTTGTATCTACCCCTGAGTTCCCAGTAGACTTGGTGAGACTTCTCTGCAACATTGTTTATCGAAGAAAGTGGGTGTGCTTGGAAGGAAAGACGCTGGAAGAATTTTACATCAGAGCACATTGGAATTGGCATGCAAATAAAAATGAGGGGATTTAGAAAAAAAAAACACTTTTTTTTGAAGGAATATATTCAGGGAACTGATTGATAGAGCATGTGTAGGCACTTGGGAGGCTATAGGGTAAGAGGACTGTGAACTCTGAACAAGTAAGTTTAAACCATTGTAAATCTAATTATGGAAGTTGTGTGTGTGTGTGTGTGTGTGTGTGTGTGTGTTAACAATTAACCTAAAGCTGGGCGGTGGTGGCACACGCCTTTAATCCCAGCACTTGGGAGGCAGAGGCAGGCGGATCTTCGTGAGTTCGAGACCAGCCTGGTCTACAAGAGCTAGTTCCAGGACAGGCTCCAAAACCACAGAGAAACCCTGTCTCAAAAAACCAAAAAAAAAAAAAAAAAAAAAAAAAAAAAAAAAAAAAAAAAAAAAAAAAAAAAAAAAAAAACTATTAACCTAAATACAGAGGTGAGTTACCAAAAAGGACCAGGATTAGCTCAGCTGGTAGGTTAGGTACTTGCCTAACATGCACAAACCGTCCTGGGTGTGATCTTCAGTACCCCGTGAACCAAACATGGGTGTGCATGCCACAGCTGCAGAGTGAGTTCAGGGCCAGCCTGAGCTATGTGAGACCCCTCCCCTCCTTCCCCCAAACAATAAAAACTGCAAGAAAAAGACAGACATGGATTGATGAGTAAAGAATGAGTAAAGGATCCCAACGTTGTGCACAGCAAAGGGCTGGCTTGTCCGACTCTGCTCATAGTGGGGTCCCATACCAGCTGGATCTGCCGCTCCTTGAACTTCATCTGAAATGTGAATTCTTTGACTCTAGGCCAAACTTATGGCATCAGAATCTCTAGAGTAGAACCTGGTGGTTGATCTATCCTGTGAGACGTTGTGGGGATTTTTACATGTACTAACGTCTCAGAAAGGTCTGGAGAGAGGCCTAGTGATTCAAGGCTGCCCTCCCAGAGGACCCAAGTCCGACTCCCACCACCCACATCCAGCAGTTCATGGCTCCCGGGGCCTGGTACCCTCCTCCGGCTCCCATGGGCACCGTGTACATGTGGCACACACAGAGACATGTAAATACAAATATATTTTTTCCATTTAATAAGCACCAGGTTAAGCAGTCTTTTTCAGCAGTAAAAGGTTTTAAAATGCCATTTCTACCCCATTAACAATTAAAGAAATCTATGTTTTCTAAAATAAGGAATATTGAAAGATAATGGAGCACAGGTGAAAGTGTAAACGCAAAGAGCTCATGTCCCAAGCAACCAGAGCCCAAAAGATAAACCAGAGTGTGAAGCCTGAAAAAGAGAAAATATACAGAGACTTTTGCCTATCATAAGGAAATATCCTAGGATAGGACCCGAGTCTAAATACAGAATTTACTTACCTTTCATATATGTATAGATAATCTCTAAGTAATTTCATTAAATATTTTTAATGACATTATATGTGACATAAAAATTCGAAGCATGGGGTTCCTTCTTGTGGCGTCTTTCGGAGCATTTCAGGGTTGGGGATTAGGGATGTTCACCCTGTAAAACCGAATCGATCATCGCAATAAAAGCAAGTGGTATAATCTCTCCAGTGAGAAAACAGGAGCTGTCAGTTAATTTGAAATAATCCCAGCACTAATGAACTACGAACATTGTACCTAGTTCAGTCCTGTTCTTTCTCTTTGCTTCAGCGTGTCTTGGGGACCTCTCCCTACTTCTGTAAAGAGATTAACGTACCCGTCATGGCTGTTTGAGACACTGTCTGTTTCCTCGAGTGTACATACCATGGGTGCAGTTTGAAAGTCGTGAGGCGCTGTGAGCGTTCTACACAGCTCCTTGGAGACAGGGACATGACAGTTTCTGCTCAGCCTCCACTGTAGTGTGCTATCTCTGTTTAATGTGAACGCAGGACCATCAGAGCATGTCACTAGACACATGCAAACAAGAAGAGATCACAGCCTGACAGATCGCTGGGAACTTCATAATATTAAAACCAGACGAACTAATAAATGGTTTAATTAAATGTTCGAGCAATGCTTCTTAAACTTTCCCATGCATTAGAATGTTCTTGTTAAAACATAAATTTATGGGCTACACCCATAGAAGTTTTCTCTCAGCTGATCTTATACTGGGTTTCGGTCAGGCTCCCGTGGTCCAGGAACCACTTAGGAGCAGTGTGTCAGGACTGGCTGTCATGTCAAAGGATGACTTAGGACTCCATGTGTAGACGAGAATCACATTGAATCCGATCTTCTTCCCTCTAGGACTGCAAGTGTCACCGCCATGTTCAGTTTACACAGAACTGGGAAGGGAACCTAGGACATCCTGCATGCTAGGTTCAAGCTATAGGTCAGGTTCTTTGACCCATAGCTCCATTCCTAGCCCTCTAGTAAAGATTCTGAGCCATAGCTTTCATACACCAAATATATATGGGGGATATATGTACCTAAATATCAAAGTAAATCGGGAAAGCAATGGGAGGGGGGTAGCACAGCCTTTAGTCTTTGCTGGAGCAAGCAGACACGGCTATATAATATTGGAATAATATAATTAATGCCGTTGATTTAACAACCTTGACAGGAACTAAAATGCATACCTTTTTGGCATTCCTGAGTCAGCTCCTAAAATTGTTTACCTACCCTAAATCCTAAAGCTTCCAGCAAAGTAGGCTGAGAAGCCCTTGGAGGTGGAGCTGCCCGTGATACATGTGACATCGTGTTGACATCACAGATCTACAGAATGTAGTGGTTTTAAAGGAAAGTCACAAAAGGAAGCAATAGTTCATTATACAAGTAAGTCGATTTCCTTAGAAATCAAGGAAACGGAAAATAAAACCTGTAGCGTAAGTGAATGGTTTCTCCCAGGTCAGATACGCAAACCAGAGAGGTGGTAGGGGTGCGGTGTGTGACTGGGGGAAGGCACTGTGGCCCCTTCCCCACCTCAGTATCCCTAGAATCACAGGCGGCTCCTGAGCAAATATGCAAAAGCCCTGCAAAGATGTGGATTACAGCATTATTTTAAGTGTGTGTGTGTGTGTTATGTGTGTGTGTGACTTGAAAGAATATGAATGTCCCTTGGTGGAGGGCAACTGGCTCAGCAAATTCCCAAGTCCCATGGGAGCCATGCAGCCGATAAAGGCAGTCCTGGAGATCAATACTTATTGATTGGGCAAGATGTCCACAAAGTATTGTCGATTGAATACACCAGGTTACAAAGAGGATATCGATCAGGGCTGGCTAATTCAAGGCCATAAGAGCCAGATAAATGGTAGCAGCAGAGAGATGCCCTAGAGGAGGGTGATGGGAGTGTGGGGGCAGGGCGAGGTAGCTGGTGATGCCCTGGGGGAAGATGTCCCACTTGGTGTAGGGATCATGCAAGATTGCACTTGCTCCTTTTAAAAACTTCGAGCTTGTATTTATTCCTATTTTAGCACTGTCCTAAAAGAACCATTTTACATCAGACGTCTTTAAAGGAGAATTTAGGCAGAACCTTGAGAGATAGAAAGTTAAGTCTAGTGATGGACCGGCGAGATGGCTCAAGGGCTACAGTGGACTCGAAAACAGAACCCATGTTCTCTGAACTCTACGTGTCCTCTGTAGCACGCATGCACCCCATGTACGTTAGACACATGCAATAATAAATACGTAAGTAAATAAATAGATATTTAGGCCCAGTGAGAACTAAGAAGTGTGACCCCAGCTCTGGTGGGTGGTGACACCTGGGGACAAAGTCCTAGAGATAAGAGACTATGGCTGTGACCCTTGCAGTGGGCAGGCAGATGGAAAGGTTGGCTTTGCGGGGCAGCTGGGGTCCCCTGAGCACCAGGGCTGCCACTCAGAGTTGACCCCGCAGCAATCCTCTAGGGTGGCCCTTCTTTCACCTTCTTTTTACAGGTAGAAGAATGGAGGCATGACGTAGTTAGGGGCGGGAGAGTTGGCTCAGTTAAAGTGCTTGCATGCAGGCATGAGAACCTGAGTTCACATCCCTAGGACTCGTGTTAAAAGCCAAGGGCAGCAGTGTGCACCTGTCATCCCAGACTGGGAAGGCAAAAAAGGGTGGATTCCTGAAGCACAGTGGCCAGCCAGCTCCCCCAAGTCAGTGAGCTCCGAGTACAGCAAGAGGCCTTGTCTCAAAACAGTAAACAGCTTTGGAGAAAAATATCCAAAGTTGATACCAGTCCACACGTATATATGATAACCCATGCACACATGTGTATCTGCAACTGCCCCGCCTCCCTGCACCCCCACCACACATAGAGCTCTAACTGTCAGAGGTTACAAAAGAGGCCACACTGGGATTTGAACCAGGCAGTGCAACTTTACAGTCCCAGCTGAGTCTGGCTCATGGTCCAAGAATGAAGAGGAGTTGGAGGCTAAGAGATGCTGATGTTTTGTTGGGGGAGGGGCAAGCACCTGTTCTCATACTTCCTTCTCCTCTGCAGAAACCGGCAATTACACGTGTGAGTTCTGTGGAAAGCAGTACAAGTACTATACGCCCTACCAGGAGCACGTGGCCTTACATGCCCCCATCAGTGAGTCCTTTCTCCAGCCGGGGGATGGGGAGGCCTCGGGAGGGGCAGGGGTTAGCCACTGACCAAGAATCTGGAGCTTTTCCCGGGAAGGAGCCAGCAAGGTGAGCTTGGGTCTGGGCTCTCAGGTGTCTGGGTCTAGCCTGAGCCATGAGGGAGACTATGAGGTAGGAAAGCCTAGAAAGCCTGCTTGGTGTCAGAACCAATCGGGTGGAGCTCTCTCACGGAAGCTCAGAGGCCTGCCTCTCCTACTGGGCATCAGAAGTGGAGATTGCTTATCCAAGCACTACAGTGGGTCCTGCACGTGTGAACTTCCTGGCTCTGCGTCCGTCTCCATAGTGTCTGTCTTAGGATGTAGGACCAAGGTCCAGCCTCCCTGACGGGAGGGAACCTGGGCAAGGCAGCCCTTATGCTGTGATGGTAGAAAACTAAGAAGGCAGAAGGCTTGCTAATGTGTGAGGCTGAAAATCTGAAAACCAGCCTCAGGCATCGCGGGCTTCCTGGTGACCATGACCCATAATCCCTTAATTCTCTGCTGATAAAATGGAAAGGGATTCCATTGGGTACTGCTGTTTCTCCACACTCTGGATGCCTGTCAGCCTACCTGGTGACTCCCAGGTGCCTTTCTGCAGATGGGAGTCAGATGGAGCCATCCCTAAGTGTGTGAGCCAGAGGGCCTCAGCCTTCCACCCTTTCCTGTACAGGTGGACATACACGTTGTGATGAGACAGGACACACATGACCTTTGGGATACTTGGATGGGGTGTTTAGGAGCCTCTGCTAATTTCCCTGTGTGGGCATCTCACTGCAGAACTGGAAAGAGTTGAGGCACAGGATGAAAGACAACCTGTGGAGGTCACAGCATCTAAACCTTTTCTCCAGGGGTGGTCCCAGACTTTCAGTAGCAGCATAAGCAGGTGGGTCCCCTGAGGGCATCTGAGTAGAGAGAGAGAGAGATGTCTAGGGCTTGAACAGGGTATCAGAAGCTTCCCCAGGAACTCCTCCCTGCTGGCAGAGCTGTACAGCTGGGACATACTCCTCACTGGATGGCAGCCTCAGTCCTGTCTTTGCACTGGGTTGTGATTCTTGGTCTGGCTCACTGTCCGGCTGTTGTGTGACCCTTTGCCTGGTGAGCTTCATCTGGAGTCCAGACTGACACCTGCAGGAGGTGGTGACTTCAGGTAGTGTCTTCTGTGGCCCTGATGTCCACTGTGTAGCCAGACCATCTACTGTGGGTGCTGCTCTGTCCCTTTGATCTCTGCTCCTAATGCTGGTGCCCAGGCATTGGGCTGTTTGTGGGTAGTTGCTGCCAAAGAGGATGCTACCCAGAATGTACTTAGAGAGGCATGACCTAACAAGGCCTAAGGCAGATGAGGTTGTGTTTATTCCACTTCCTTTTCCTCCCAGAGCATGTTGATAAGGAGTGGATCCTGAACCCCACCAGGCAGCTGCAAGCTTACCTCCACCCTGAATCCCTTGACATGAGAGGAAGGGGCCCCCCACATGCACCCTAACTTCATCTCTGACATAAGGCACTTTCCTCCCAAAGGGCTCCCTGTATTACCTCCTGGTTTCATTTTTTTCTCTCCGTTTTAGACTTTTTTCTGCACCTGTTGGATATGTTTCTCTGGTACTCATTGATGTCTTCTAGGATTTTAGAAACACCTTTTTAAAATACGGCATGAGATTTGGTCTAGTTTCAGCAAAGGGTAACTTCTGCAAGGCTGGGCATGAGACGGTGTCTTGTGTAGGGGTGGTAGGAGTTGGGTGTGGAGGTGTGATTGCATGGTGGCCATAGTTGGACGTGTGTCCCTGGTTCTGATGAGAATCCAAAAGGCTAACAGCATGTAGTAATAAGTGCGGCGGGGCTGTGTCCCAGCACCCCAGCCGCCTGCTAGCTTATGCCCGAAATAACAACACACAAACTGTATTCATTTAAAGACTGCTTGGTCCATTTCTGTCTAGCCTCTTCTAGGCTAATTCTCACATATTAATTTAGCCCATTTCTAATAATGCGTGTAAGCACCGCGCTTACCGGGAAGATTCTAGCCTACGTCCATCCTGGGTCGGAGCTTCATCGTGTATGCCCAGGAGAGCGAAGCAGGGCCTCTGCTCCAGAGAGCAGAGCTGTCGAGTCTGAGCTCACTTCCTCTTCCTCCCAGCATCCTATTCTGTTTACTCCTCCCACCTATGTTTTAACCTATCAGGGCCAAGGAGTTTCTTTATTGCTTAACCAATGAAATCAACAGATTGATATATGGCATTCCCACATCAACAGTGGAAGTTCTCCTGAGTCCCATGTGTGCACTTGTGTCTGCTTCCCACGTGTGTCATACTATCAGCTCCGTTTTTTACTGCTGATGGATCCCCCACTTGCTGAATCTGCATCTGTTTGGTCACTTGCCTGCTCACTTGGATCAGTTCCAGCGTTAGGCTGACATGAGTAGAATTCCTGTGAAGGTTTGTGTGCTGCCTTCTGTGGCTCTAAATACCAAGGGGTGGAGATACCAGGGAATAGGTTTGTTTCTTTTTTATTAGAACTGACAAGCCATTTTCCAAAATGCCCATAGCATCTCAGCCTCCCCTGGGAAGGTTTGGGGCGTCTCTCTCCTTCCCCCCCTCTCCTCTCCTCTCCTCTCCCTGTTGTTTGTCCCTCTTTTGTTGGCTGTAGATACTCTTATTTGAGTTGCTCCGCATCCTTCATCACATGGATAGTTTCTCCCAGTCTTTGGCAGACTTGGTTTCCATGCAGCATCCACTGATGAGCAGGTAATTTTCTTTCATGAAACATTGATGGGGGAGAGTCATCTGTCTATTTGTTATTTTCATTGGTTAATAAAGAAACTGCTTTGGCCCATTTGATAGGCCAGCCCTTAGGTGGGTGGAGTAGACAGAACAGAATGCTGGGAGGAAGTGAGGCAGATGCCATGCCTCTCCTTTCTGGGGCAGACGTGATGAAGCTCCAGTCCAAGATGGACGTACACTAGAATCTTCCTGGTAAGACACCACCTTGTGGTGCTACACAGACTATTAGAAATGGGTTAAGCAAGATGTGAGAATTAGCCAGTAAGAGACTAGAGATAATGGGTCAGGCAGTGTTTAAAAGAATACAGTTTCTGTGTTGTTATTTTGGTGCATAAGCTAGCCAGGCAGCCGGGAGCCAGGTGGCAGGAACACAGCCCGCAGCTCCTCACTACAAATGGGGGCTGTAGAGATGGCTCAGTGGTTAAGAGCATTGCCTGCTCTTCCAAAGGTCCTGAGTTCAATTCCCAGCAACCACATGGTGGCTCACAACCATCTGTAATGAGTTCTGGCAATTGAAGGTGTAAGTCACAAACAATCCCACACCAGTTTGGAATTATGATTAATAAAATGGTTATTTATTTAAGGGGGAAAAACTTACAGATCACCATCCCAGACAACAGCCCTCTGCACAATCAGGAAAGGAGCCTAGTCGCCAGAAGCAGAGCCGGACGCCAGAGCGCCAGCTGAGGGAAGTGGCCACTTTTTTTAAAAGATAAATAGACCACGCCCCAGTAGGCTGGTATTTCAACAGCTATTGGCCGGAGGAGCAGAAGGCGCTCCTGCAGCACAATGGGCTCGTACTTCAGTGACTATTGGCTGAAGGAGTAGAAGGTCCTCCTGCAGTAAAACATAGTTTATCATTCTTTTTACAGTGCTTTCTGAATCCTTCCTCAGGGGTATCCTTGCCTACCTCATAATGGTGAGGGTCTCTTCCTTGCTGGCAGCAATGTTTTAGATCATTTTAACGTCCACATTTGGGGCTGCAGTTGAGTTGCATTAGCCCCTGACTGAGGTGAGGTAGGAGGCTGGTCCTAATCTGTGTAGACTCCAGGTTGTTGAAAAGCCTTTGTTGAACTTACCTTTTCTTGTTTGGTTGTTTGGTACCCTTGCTGGAACCAGCTGAATGTCCAGGGATGTTTTTCTTTTCCATGGATTCAGTGTGCACTTTCCTCCGTGCACCAGTGCTCTTTTTTATTACCCCTCTTCAGGAGGTCTTAGAGCACCTCTTCTCAGGTCTTCCACTTTGTCCTTCTGTTGTAAAGAATATAGGCTCATCTAGGAACTTTATTTTTTCACATAAATGTTAGAGGCTTGCCAGTTTCTACGGAAATAATAATGATGAGAAGGGGGAAGACAAGTGAGACAGAAAGAAAAAGTCAGTTAGGTTTTGAGGGGGTTACATTGAGTCTGTGGAGCAGTTTGAGGAGCACAGGCATTACAGTGGTGTTGGGTCTCTCAGGCAATCCTGGCCACAGTGTATCCCTCCAAGGGTCTGGGGCTTCTTTAGTTCTCTCAGCCCGCGTGTGCTCTTCAGTCTTAACACCTGTTTCATTAGCTATCTTGTGTCTTGTGATGCTGCTGTAATTCTTACACTTGAATTTCCCAGTTGTTCCTGCTGCTTCATGGGAGTAGTAGAATTTTGCATTCTGGATTTTATCCTGCAGGTTCACTGAATTTGCTTGTTAGTCCTTGTAGGTCCCTTCTTTTGTAGATTTCTTGTTCATGGTAAAATGATCTGCTAATAGAAGCAACTCCCCTCCTGGTCTGTCTTCCTTTTGCGATCTGAGGGGTTGTGCTCTTCACAGTCTTGTTTTAGGGTGTGTTGTATGGTGTTGAACTCACAGGGTTCAGTTGCTGACGGCTAAGTGTCATCATTTTCATCACCACCATTGAGCCGGCTGCAGCGGGCTCCTGTAGTGGCCCTCCGCAGCTCAGGCTGCCTTTCCCTCAGTTCACTGGAAGTTGGGCCTGCAAATTAGGGTCGTGTGGCATTTTCCTTCTGTTGAGATGAATGTGGATTCTTAACGTTTTGTTTTTGTTTAGTTTTGTTGTGTTTGTTTTTTGCTACTGTAGTAAATGTGATGTCTTTTAATGAGTCATTGTGCCTATATTTTATTAAGGTTGAGAATATCAGAAAATGAATGTGATATGGGCTGAAGGAACTTGCAGTATTGGGATGTATCTTCTTTGCCAAAATT